GACTTCTTTATACTAGTTATCTTTGACCGCGAGATGTTCTCTTATGACTATAATTTCAGTTGTTAAGTTACGATCCTTTGGTGTTAACCCAGTCATGCATAAATCAATGATGCCATTGAATATCCCTGAATATTCTTGCACACTGCACCGTTTTATAAATGGCTCTGAAATTTTCATGTTTTGAATATAAACTGCGCGCAGAATTCTTTTTATTCCTATTTAGCTTTCTGCCACACCGACAAACAAATCTTACTACTTTAAATTTGCTTTACATGTCTTAAGGTGTTTAGATACAGTTTTTGGGAGACCATACCGATGTTTTCAAATCGCCTTAAAAGTGATTTTGTCCTTTCCTAGAAAAAGATTGTAAAAGGAAAAAAAGATCGTTGTGCCGTGTCTGGATGTAATAATGATCGCCTTTTTCCCGAGAAATATACAGTAAGTTCTCTTTTGGCCTCAAAAGCGTGCGTAAATACTGAACGAGAGCCCCCTGGGCATCCCATAATACCTTTTCAATTTAACAAATTCAATATGGCTGCCGTATCGATTTATTTTACAGTATTGAGTTTTGGGAGTCGACTATAAAGAATCCGGGCAACTTTTTATATTAAACGTTAAACATCACTCCGTGTATTTTAAAAATTGTCTATATTGGTTGTACTTAAGATCTGAAATGTTTGTTTTAATTTCTACTGACAGATAGCAATAATTTGCAAGCTGTCGTGACGTCTAAATGGTGGACGCATTAGCCACTAACTGGTTCTGTTCGGTGTAATTTCTAAATAATCTTGAGTAGAATTTTTTTTTTATAAAAACTGACAATTTAATACCACTAGATTGACGATATCTAAAACCTTCGCTCAATTTTTTTTTGTGGCGGAAGAGTTTGTGGTTTAAACAGGTGCTCTTGTGGTCTCTTAATGCTGCTGTATCACTCGCTAAAAATTATTTAAATTTAAGCGTAACTTTTGGCTTAAAAAAACTGCTGATTTGGCCAAAATAGTATATTTATCGAAAAAAAGGAACTTTTTGAATATGTTTTTGTTCATCATGTGACATTGATGATGGATAGAGTTATGTGAGGTCATCAGTCATGACAAGATGTAATATGACTTAGGATGAAATAGTTATAAAACTCTAAATATTCGTTGAGCTTGAATAAATTGCTACGCTGAGAGAGAATTGACAATTGGAGGAAGAGAACAAGCTAAAGGGAATCGAATGAAAAAAAGAAAAATTTTTATCTCAAAGAGAATATCGAGTCTTTTGTTCCGCATTTAAGACCACTTCTTCCCTGCTACAGCTAAAGCCACGCTCAATTTCAACAACAGAGTCATCATCTTACTACTCTATTTTCCAATAAAAGTGAAAACAAAGTGTATTGAAAAATTATTCAACAGAAAACAGATAGCTAGGACGATTGATTACCGTATCAAGTAACCCACGTGGGTTCTCGCAATAACATCAGGAGGTCATAAAAACAAATTTTGGACCAGTTAGACGGAACATCGTGTCTCAATTATTCAATTATAGTCAATAAACACCAAGGCATTGCCTTTTCGCTGATAATAACAACTGCCCATCTAATTTGTTAATAGATAGCTATGCGTTTGAGGTTAGAATTTCATAGCAGTGGAAAGGTGCCTTTTCAAACAAAATACCATTATTCACTGAATGGTGATCTAAATTTATATCTACCTTTTGGATAACTGGGATCAGACTCTTTAGTGCCTTTTTTCTCTGGATTTCACTCTAAAAGAAGGCACAGAACTAAAAATTATGAAAATATTTATTCCAAATTTCAGTTGAGTCCGGACAACTAGATTACGGTGTGTCATAAAACGTCTGAAAATAATGTATAGTAAACACATCTGCAGCTTACTGTTCTTGCATAATTTGTAAATGATCTTTGAAAAATTCGTAGAAATAGAATAGTGTAAGTCGACCTTGTTGAATACCACTCGTTTTATTGATCTGAGAACATTTTCTTATTTAAATTCACCGCTTCGAGAGTCATCAAAGTTAGCAGTTTCTTATGGGGTTGAAACGCATAAACACATCTTTGAATGAACTTTGTGGTTAAAAGCCTAATGTTACTCGACAGGCTCCGATCTACTGTAAAATTTAAACTCATGTTGATAATAGAACCAAGAACAATTCAACGAAAGTGCTACTTTGACGTCACTTTAATCGATTAACACACTTGCCGAGTGAGAGTTCGAGTTAAAGTCACCTATGTCAGTTTGACACTAGCAGCTATTTAGTGCATTTCTGTCATTTTCAGATATGAACTAGAACTAAAACCGTCTAAATGTGGCTTGAAAGTCTACAAGCAATCCAAAATGAATAAATTGTGAAGGAGACAAACTAGTACTTTTTAATATTACAGTTCCAATACGGTTCAGTACTTAGAAAGGAGAAAGCCCTGGCAATTAAGAGAAGCGAAACCTAACTACTTTTTACTCGCATTGGTCACAAAAATGAAAAATCCAACAATAATGAGCTAACCGCAGGCAAACGTTTACCACATTTTGCTTGGGTTGTTATTCACGATATAGGCAAATGTAAGTTAGGGCATATGAAGTATGTATTTTTTAGTTTAATAAAGTTATATTTAATATTTTTCTAATACTATTAGTTTTTAGCTTAATAAAAAAGAGACTTTAATTTGTTTCAAGCTCACTCGCACGAAATTACTTTAAAAAATAGCATGGGGTGGAGATCGAGGAGGAGGGTGTTATCCGCCTCGGCTTACGGCCTCGGCGGATAACACCCTCCGAGATCTCTATAATTCTTCATATGATACGAAAGCCGAATTGAATAATTGTTTTATTATTCATTCAAAATCATTCCTAGTTTAAACACAAAGCTAAAACATGCTTACCTCCATCGATACTAAGTGCACGTTTAGGGTTGTTCAGCTCCGCAAATATTCTCCAAATAGCAGATGTCGCCCTTCGAGTTGTGTTCTTGCCATGTTGTTAGCTATAATTTCGCCTACTTCTTACTCTTGAAACGAGTGAAATGTCCGCCATTTTTTGTTTTCACAACCAAAACAACTCAACCTCGTCCCCAGGTCTTCTCGGTTAACGGTGCATTAACCTGCAAGAACGCTGCATTTTTGACGTCATTTCCTCGTTAAACACAAAATTCTTCCAAATTTGGTCATCAGTAACTGGATATGATGAATGTTTTAGCTATGTTTTTAAATTAGGAACTATTTTGAAAGAATAATACAATTATTGAATTTGGCGTTCGTATCATATGAAGAGTTATGGAGATCTCGGAGGGTGTTATCCCCCTCTGCCCACGGCCTTGACAGATAACACCCTCGATCTCTATAATTCTTCATAAGATACTCAGCCTCATTCATTAATTGTTGAATTAACTTCACCAATTTTTGCAGTAAAATAAACGCGCCTCAATTAAGTAATATCCGGCGCAAAATATGTCAAACAATGACTTCGATTTTAAATTATTTGATCATTTTCTTTTTCAGCAGTTTGTTTGCTCGGTTCATTTTGTAATGTGAGGAAGTAAAGAGATCCCAACAGTTTCTGATTCAACGCTCTCACTTTAAAGCACTTGAACTCGTGGTTCTTTATGATGGAAAATTCGCTTTTCATCGTACAATGCGTATTCCCTGCCTGTTTATCAGTTACCGCAGTCGCGTTCAATGCAGTAGCGATTCTTGCATTAAGAAGAACGTTGGCGTTACCAAAGAACTTTAAACTATTGCTCCTGAGTATGGCTGTTTCCGATGTTGGTGTTGGTTTACTTGTTCAGCCTCTGTACGTGGCAATAACCGTTTTGCTTAAAGAAAACAGCCATGGTACTTATCTTGTCAAATTAGAATATGCCTACTTCATCGCAGGAAATTTTATGTGTGCTGCTTCGTTAATTGGAGTCACAGCTCTAGCTGCTGATAGATTCTTGGCAATTCATCTTCATCTAAGATACCACGAATTTGTGACTTATAACCGTGTTGTTTTTGTGGTGATCTTGATTTGGGTGTTCAGCGCAATTATAGGATTTCTTCTTTTATGGAACGTTTCGGTAGGTTTCAGCTCTGTCACTATTATTGCGATTGTTTGTCTTGTCGTTATTGCCTTATTTTATCTTAAGATATACTTAGCAGTAAAATACCACACAGAACAAATTGCCGCCATACAAGCATCCGATGGAGGAGAGATTAATGAACAAAAGCAGCGGAACGCAGAGAAACAGAAAAAAGCTGCGATTACGACTTTCTGTGTATATCTTGTGCTTGTGGTCTGCTATTTACCGAATTTAGTTCTTACTTGCATAAAGCTTGCAGACGATAAGTTTACTATCTCAGAGTATTTGTTTGTTTTAAATGACTTGTTAGTTTTTCTGAATTCAGCCTTAAATCCTCTGATTTACTGTTGGAAGATGAAACACATTCGACATGCTGTTAAAAATATACTTGTAAATATCTTCTCATGTCTCAGCTGAGGAAAGCTTTCGTCAGTTAAAGCTGATTGAATACGTAAAATATTGCAAGTTATTGACATCAGCATAGGAAGTCATTTTTGGTATGTTTGTTCAGTTTATTTTGTATTTTGCATATACTACGCTATATTTAAGCTAATAAATAGCCTGCAAGCATAAGAGATGCGAAACAATATGTCACATTCTACATATTTATACAAAGGAATTAAAAGAAAAGAAATAAAAAATCAACTTATATGCCCCTTGATTTTTTACTAATAAACTCCTGCATCCACCGACAACGTGCTGGTTGCTGAGGGTGACCAGAAAATGAGTTGTACAATCTCTAAGCCACTGGGCATGTTTACATGGAGGTGGGGGACTTCAGGAAGGTAAAGTAACTCGTCTGGTGGGTAACCCTCCAGTCCATATACAGTGGAACCCCGCTATGAAAAAAAAAATCTGAAAGCGCGGCTGAATTACAGTAAAATATGTGGAAACGAACCCCGCTATAACGAATAGATTTTGACGGTCCCAACGCACAATTTACCCCTCTGTAACGAGTATCAGTTGTTCGGTCGCTCGCAGCAGTCAGTAAAAATGACAGATTTGAGTAGAAATTCCAGCTTGCTTTGATTGAACGGGTTTTTGAATTTGATGTCTTGTTTTTCTGCGCTTAACACTTACAGTTTACAGTACGTATCAAATGAAATTAAAAAAAATAGTGTTTTCTACGTTTTGGTAGATGTTATTTAATAAATTACCCCACTATAGAGAATATTTTTCCTGTTAACCAGATAATTCGTTGTATAGACTAAAACAGTGGATAGTGTTTATCGTGCGCTCTGATTGGCTACTCAATCAGTGAATATCCTGCACTATTCACTGATTCACCTCCAGTTCCTCCGAGCGAGCGACGCCAAACTCGCGTAAGTTGCGTGCAAAATGCCTTCACGGTTTGCTGCCGTAACAAACTAATCAAGCAAGCTATTCCCAAAATACATGAAGACGATGACGAAGTTCGGTTTGGAAGTTTTAACAGGTAAGGCTTTGTATTTTTGACTTGAATTTATCGATAAAACCGGTGAAAAAGTTTTTTGTTTACAAATGCAAATTAAGCTTAAGTCTTGCGTTACTTTATTTAGTTGACTTGTTCATAAATAAGCTTAAAACTAAATTTAATAATCTTTTTTAAAAAATGATTTTAAATACAAAAAGAATTCACAACTCCTTTTGAAGAAACTTCCCCGCAAGAGCTAAACAAACGCCTTCAAAAGTTTTATTTGTCGCCAAGAAAAAGCGACGACCGCGGCCGTTCGGTCATCGCGCGCCAAAATTGTAATCGTTGGCAACAGTAAATGAGTTAAAAATAATCATTTTTGTGCTCAATTATCTCACTGTTTTAGTATATACTAAGACAATTTTTCACCTCAGTGTCGGTAGCTAGATATGGGTAAATATTCAATACTAGCCACCTCCACTTCGTTGTATAATTGTTATTTATTATTCATTCAAACTATTTCCCCGATTCGGATTGGCTAAAAGCACACGCATAATTCATCATATCCAGTTACTGATGACCAAATTTGGAAGAATTTTGTGTTTAACGAGGAAATGCCGTCAAAAATGCAGCGTTCTTGCAGGTTAATGCACCGTTAACCGAGAAGACCTGGGGACGAGGTTGAGTTGTTTTGGTTGTGAAAACAAAAAAATGGCGGACATTTCACTCGTTTCAAGAGTAAGAAGTAGGCGAAATTATAGCTAAAAACATGGCAAGAACAGAAGAACACAACTCGAAGGGCGACATCTGTTTTTTGGAGAACATTTCGGAGCAGAAAAACCCTAAGGGTGCACTATCGAAGGTGAACTTAACATCCATGAAGGTAAGAATGGTTTAGCTTTGTTTTTAAACTAGGAATTATTTTGAATGAATGATAAAACAATTATTGAATTCGGCTTTCGCATAATATGAAGAATTATGGGGATCTCGGAGGGCGTTATCCCCTTCGGCCTGCGGCCTCGACGGATACCACCCTCCTCGATCTCCAAAATTCTTCATAAGATACTCAGCCTCATTCATTAATTGTTAAATATGGGGGTGTTCGCTATAACTGAACACCCCGCTATAACGAACAATTTTTTTCGGCACATTGCACTTCGTTATAGCGGGGTTTCACTGTAATCTCTTATACGGTCACCCCTCCCATCATTTAAACGTAATCAAATAATATAATTAAAATGAAAGATTATATGGATTATGGTTAACCCACCAAAGCAGGTTTGTTTTATCGTGAATTGTAATAATGTCGTGAATTATAATACTTGTCGTAACTTGTAATAACAGTTGCCGAGTTATTGAATTGTAATAACCAAGCTAACACCCTGTCATTTTAAATAAACAAGAAATCAACAAAAAAATCTGTAATAAATCAATAATTAATGAACAATAAATAAATACATCTTTACGGTTAGCAATGAACATATTGAAATCTTCAATAATCATACCTATCTTGTTTTAAATTTCTCTGCCAATGGAAATTTTACAAATCATTTAGAAAATTTAACAGAGAAAAGAAAGAGATCCTTAGCCTCTCGTCGTTATCTAGATTTTCTAAAATTACCAATTCACATCATGAACAAACTGTTCAATACACTATTTTTTCCAACTTTAACGTATTGATCAGAAATTTGGGGAATCTATGATAAATGTGATTATGGTAGCTGGGAAAAAGAACCCGTTGAGAAAACACATACATTTTGTGTTTAGGTGTAAGCAAACGTTCACAAAATGTTGCATCGAGAATTCGAAATGAACTTGGAAGATTATCTCTCAAGTTACAAAAGGCAATGAACATTTTCAAATTTCGGAGTCACCTGGAAAATCAACCCTCTAACTTTGCTTAAACATATCGGATAAAATGGCCCCAGAAAATAAATCAGGTTTGGTAAAACGGAGCTCCACGGGCGCGAGAAGCGCGTGAGCGTAGCCCCATGGCTAAAGAAATATGGAAACCTGCGGCTCCAAGAAAACTTGGTTATGACGTCAGCGTAAGCCCGAAAGACCCTCCGTAAAGACTCTGGGGGAGGGGGAAGGGAGTCAGGGGTCAGCCCGTCGGAGGGAGGAGTTTGTATCGACTGGTACTTTCTTACTGGATCTTTAATGTAGAGATGCCGATGCCAGGCGTCACTTGAGTTGCGAAAATGCAAGGCTGGCAATACCGCAAAATTCTGGTTTATTTGAGGCCAATATTTCGGCTAACAAAATTAGCCTTCCTCATGGCCAGAGCTACACTGAAAGGGAGTACTGTAACGGCCCCTAAATTTTTCAATCACTTAATTGTATAATTATTTACCTATCTATCATGTTATCGATTGTTTTCATTTTTAGTTTATTAACCTCTTATGTAAATTTAAATTCAAATTTCAGAAGCCGTTTTAGTATTCCCTTTCAGTGTAGCTCTGGCCCTGAGGAAGGCTAATTTTGTTAGCCGAAATATTGGCCTCAAATAAATCAGCCCTTTGCCGTATCGCCAGCCTTGCATTCAGTTTTGTTCTAAGAAAATTTGGTTCTATCCATTCGAGAAATGTTGGTAGTAAGCTAGTGTGGGATGATACTGTACATTCACGTTATGACCAGTTGCGCATGACCTTATCGCGGGCTCAAGTTTTGGCCCATTGAGATTACGTACTCTTTTTAAGTCTTCCGCTGAGAAGAGTTTAGTTTTCAGGAGATCGCAGACTCGACATTATTTTTTTAAGGAACACAGCGCATGAAATTATGAACCAGCAGTCGGTCTTGGACTTGGACTTTGTTTAGCATGGTCACGCGTTGGTCACGCTCCACGTCCCATTTTTATCTCAGATTGGTCAAAATTTGACGGTTGAGTTCATGTGGAAAATTTATGCTTGTTTACTGACAGCTGACGCTGACAGAGATTTGTGTCATCTTATTATGTCTTAACCGTATTTTTGCACTGGAACTACACAATGAAATACATCTGCTATCAAGAATCTTTTGCTATTCATGGCTGTTGTGTTTATTGGGTTTTTGGTTAAGAAATGCGCCGCTTTACAGAAAAGTAATCGGAAATCATTATTTTCAAAAATAAGCTACTCTTAGTAAGTACTTACTTCACTTCGCTGGATGCGTTTAGAGAGGGTTCAAAAGCCTTACCTGATGGCTTTTCAGGAGCTGCATCTCGACCAGTAAGCTTGAGCAATTATGTTGCATTTGATGTTTTTTTTCTGGTTTCATGAAGTCGAGCGTTGTTTATGCCGTCACTTTACAAACGTTTGTAAGATTTGAGACAATAATCTCAGTGAGCTAGTATAGAACTTAAAAAAAGTTTTAATACATTTTCTAACCGCGACTAGAAAAAAAACGTTTTGAAGAATATTTAGTTATCCTATGGGTTGTAAAAAGAAAGCTTTGAGCGTTATTCTTGCCTCGAGTTCATCTTGAAAAAAAAACGTAAACACGGCGAAGCCGGCTTAAAACATAAGCTTTAACAACAACAACAACAACAACAACAACAACAACTTAACCTATCTCAACCCAATATTTGACAAGAGAAAGATGAACTGGCTGCAAGTGTGAACGGTACCAGGAGCTATTACCTTCAAACGACTAGAAGCTGAGAGCCAAGAACTAGCCTCGGTCACATCAGTAATGTGTGTCTCTCTCTTAGGAGAGATGACGCAGCCACTGCGCACTATACCGACACGTTTAACTGGATCGGTGATCCCGTTAACATTTAAAGTGATAGGTT